CAGAAAAATCGGACGGAGGAGACGTGCTCATTTTTTTCGATGAGAGAAAAATCATCGTTCTTCAGAATTTTTCATCTAAACTGGTCTTTTCCAAGACGATTAACGATGTTACGCGGTTAAAAAGAATTTCATACAGACAACGCTGAAAGCTTCTTATCCTGAACAAATCCGTGAAGAACCGTCGGCGATGTCTCCGAGAATCCGCTCAGATCCGAGAGCAATTTCTCGGCAGCCAGAGATCCCGTCGTTGCGCGCTATATCTCGCAAGTTTCATTACTTTGCGTCTTACAAGTGTGATTAGATCCTACACTTTACAATTCTCCGGTTACAATCCCTCTTATCTGCCGCGAGCTGACAGCTAATTTCTATCGCTGGCGCGCGAGCGGGCAATAAATTTCGAATGAAATATCCATTTTCTAATGTCCCGCTCGCACGTAGTCGAATTTGCTCGCGTATTGACTAACGCGATATAAATATAAGTTTTCTCCGTAAAAAAATATTTCGTCACATGCGAGTGTGTAAAACACTTTTTTAAATCGCGAGACGCGAAGAAAGTCACCGCGCGGAAACAATCTCGAGCATACTTTATCCGTACGAAAAGAAAAAGCGCGTTCGATGACGCGCGTTCGACGAGGATTCGCAAAGGAACCGCCGCCAACGTCGAATCCCGGCGTTTGCGGAGTGTCGGGCGAGAAAGCGACGCGACATAAATAGAATGTGAGAGCGTAGGTGTCTCCCTGGCGACGACGCCATGTATCCATGCTGTCCCTCGGTTTCCTTTGACATCGACAATCACCCTCCGCACTGCTGCACTTCAATCACAGCGCTATCCTCGCGCATCGATTGCCTATCTGATTGGAAGGTATCGCAACATGATTTCCCATATGAAATACTCGGCTGCACTTTGCCCTGCGCCACGTCAACGCACTCCCGTCGCTATCGTCGATTCTCTTCATGCGGATGAAAAATCGACCTCCGCGACGCGAGGGTCTCTTCTTTCGACAATTTCTGTTGCCTGGCTTGTAACGCTGCTTCTACTTCGAGCTCTCTTTGTGCTTTCAATCTATACCGCTCTGTTACTTCAATCTGTTGAAAGTCGATACATTATAGTTTTTTCTCGAGAGACAATATTTTGAAAAAAAAAAAAACAAAAGTTCAAAACAAGTTCTCGTAGTTGAGAGTAAACGCAAGTATTTAAAGATAATTTTTAACTACTCGTGTTAATTAAAATTGAAAATGTAAACAATGTTTTCAAGCTTTACAAAAGATTTCGTTAATAATCAAGGGAATAATTCTGTTAATTATCAACAACTTTGTTCGTTATTGTTCAATCTGCGTGCCGTCGAATCATCTGATAACAACGTCATTATAGATTCATTGTACGCGTATACATATTGCGACGTATCCCGTATACAACAGTAAGCCTACTTATCCGAGGGACTCATTTCGCAAGTGCTCATATCGGCGAAAGTCATTCCTGCGTGACAGGATCAGCGCGGGCTAACGAATGAGCCTGTACGTCGCGCGATAACGCGGCATTAAAAATGTACAATGACCGTGTGCGTTAATGCAGCATGCTAACGAAGCGCGCGATTTTACGTTGACTCTTAAAACGCGACGCAAATATATCGTGAAACCATCGCGTTTCCACTCGGTACAAACTGAATGACTAATATACAGTCGTTGGCATTTCATTGACCGAAGGCGACTATTATCTAACCGCGCGTTTACGAACTTCATGTATGTTACATTTATTACATTTACTTTATATCTCTATACAATATTTATATATTATTATTTACTTCTGCAGTATTATTGTGTCCTCTAGCACGTAACGTATCGCGTAAAATTGTGAACATTATAGTTTTATTTTATTAATAAAAACTTTTCTTAATGTTATATAGTTTGCTTATATGAAATTGTTTATTTATAATCCGATAAAGAATCTCTCTATCTCTCTCTATCCGACGCATCTAAAATCTAGTTTATATCAGTACCAAATATATACCTTTCTCATAAACTGAAAGCATCGGCAAACTTGTTATTGTTATTAATCTTTCGAAACCCATTGTTATCTTGCACTTATGCAACTGTCGACATGTACTAAATAAACATCAGTAATAATTACTTACTTTGTTACTCATAGTATATGCAATTGTTTGTTTTACAAAAAATACGTACATGGATTACCATGTGTTTACTTTTGTTATTGCAATTTTCGGAATTTTAAACATCTTTTTGCTCGCGTGTTCGTTACACTTTGTACGTATTTTTTGTAAACCAAAAAAATGCAATTATATAAAAGCTTATAAACACAAACGATAAGTAGTAGCACGTAGTAAATAAATAGTCGTATATAATGAGCTACATGGCAACATATTGCAATTCAGTCTTTCCGTCCTGTGATTTGAAAGGCCGGCAACGTAATTTCAAATTCATAAAATATTTGAAGATAATATTCATTATATGAAGCGAGCGTCGCAAAAAGAGGACTGAACTCATTAGCCGGTTTAATTTCAGCGTTTCGAAATTAAACGCGTGAATGCATTTGATAGCATGTAAACTGCTACTTGCAAACGAAACAGATCTATATACCTCTTGAAAACTACCTCGTAATCGGTATAATTAAACTGACGTGTTTTTTTATTTTTATTTTTGTTACAACATTCTGTAAATAATTCGCGTTCCTATTTACGTATGCTATAATTTTGCATAGGTATCATGTTGATCGTTCAGTAATGACAAAACCAGAACGACGATTTCCAATCCATTCCCACACGCTTTACCAAGAGGAGGCATCTTCAACCTGTTTTGCTCGGCATATCCGCCGATTTTCCACACACGTATTTGCCACGGGACGTGAAAATTTCACGTGACGAAATCACGTTTTCGCAAGTGCATCGGCACACTACACGTCGCGCCGCGAATTGCTGGGCGCCGAGCGAAGAAAATTTGCGTGCTTCGAAGATTTCGGTCGCTCCACGAAAAAGAGAGAGAGAGAGAGAGAGAGAGAGAGAGTCTCGAAACGCACGGCCTCTCTGTCATCTTTCGAAACATTTTTCAGATGCATCAATGCCGTGGGATACGTGAGCAACATCTCTCCGCATCTCGTATATACAACGCTCCGCGCCGAGGAATCTCGAGCTCGCGCGAATCCGCGACAGGTAAGTATGTTTTTTTTTGAACGCGTATTTCGCGTTTTTCCCTCGTCCTCCAGCTACGAATACGACGCCGCCGGTGCGTCTGTGTGCTCACGTGCGAACACACGTGGTCATGCGGAAGAGATCGCGTGCTATTCGTCTATAAGATCCCACGGTACTTTCCTTTGGTCGTTTACCTTTATCACTGCCGAGCAGCTTGCACTTCCGTTGTTAATATCCCGATATGGAAATCCGAGACGAGTGCGCGAGTGAAAAATGGAGAGACGTCTGACATGTACCTTCCGTCTTTGGCACAAGTTTTCGTGGCAACAGTCTAAGAGAGAAAATGGTCGTTTTATGAATCTCGCTACGCGGAACATAACTGGATCACACGTAACTTGCAAAATCGTAAAAGATATGATTTTACGATAACGTTTAACATCTCAACGAGATCTCTTTTATGTAACACATATTTTTTTTTAATCGTTTAATGGCGACATGTATATATCTTACATATACATTTTATCTCTTCGCATAAAATTATCACTTTTTGAATAGACACTTTTTTTTTACTACAACGGCATTTTGAAACGGCACATATCTGTCGCGTTGTTCTAGAAAGGTGGATTATTTGCAACAAACCCGATTTTTCGGGTTCCCGTTAGAAATCAAGGAATGCTCGTGTACGAATTTGATTGTTGAACACGCAGCGACGTTTGATTTTCATCGATGTTCGACGACGAGGCTGATGCCTTGCACAAACTGGATTTACATGCCACAGCTTTTGGACTCGAGCCAAATTGGTTGCACCTGATTCCGATCGACATTGCTCGGGGCATTATGGTATTTTCTACGACGGGGGCAGTGCTGGTTTCGCGCGGGCTGGCGCGTCTAAGTTCGAGCGCTCGATTTTACGACGTAAAGTTTCAACGGCGAGCACAAATGACGGACCTGCGACGAAGAACCGTGCCGGACGACACGACGTCACAAGTGCATGTTGCAGCAAGAAACTACGTTGGTCGACATTAAGGTTCCTTCCGCGCGAGACACTCGGCGACACGTTGCGTATCGGAAATACATTGTAGTAAATGTCAATGTGTTTCCGAAACGTTGGCATTTGCTACGTAAACCTTACAAGTAGCCATCTTTTGTAGTCGCCACCTCTTTGGAAAAACATTTGGAATTTTATAACTGCGTTTTTTTTCAGTAATTTCCGCTCGTGTAATTTTTATATAAGTATTTTCATACTTGTATAAAAATACATAAAAGAATATTCTAATATTAATGATTAAAACATATTATTAATTTTTATACATATATTTATTTAGTCGGAAAATCTGGTAAATTATAGATACTACATAAAGACGATACTTAGGATGTAAAAGTTGTGAAAGAATCACACTACGGCTTTTACATTGTAGTCGCTGTAAAAAAAATAAGATATAAGAAGAGTCTTTCCGAGTTCTTTCATAATACGAGTTGAATATCTGATAATTCCTAAGTGTTTTGCTCATTTCCGTTTATCGCAGTGTACTTCGTGCATACAAAGCGAATTTAAAATCGCATTGTCTACTCTTCCGTCCAATTCGCAACTTCTCGGTCTATAAAACTTTGATTATTTTCTCTTCAAGACCTAATTATTATGTTTTTTTTTTCTGTACATAAAGGCACATCTTCATATATATTTTAATATTTCTAAATTAGTTGATGTTTGCAAGCAAGTTCGGCCGTGTAAGAAAACACGAGCAGATCAAAGAAGAGACAGAATGACATTCGCGCAATGAGCTGAATATAGAGAAAAGAAATATGAAAATAAGAGAGAGAGAAAGAGAGAGAGAGAGAGAGAGAGAGAGAGAGAGAGAGAGAAGAAAGGCAACGTGCAGAGAAAAGAGAAGAAGAAGTTGAATCAAACAGAGAGAAAGCGAAACGAATAAGGCGAACGATTGCCGCAGTGCACCTTCGTCGGCGTGATTTTACTTTTATCGATTCGCTATTCTCCGTGTGTTTTGTGCCACAGTCGTCGAATAACTAGGAATTACCCTTTTTGATCCTACGTTCTCACATCTGCCAGTCTTTGTCGAACAAAGTCTTTGTCCGACGACTGGGTTCTCCCACCACTCCGTATTCAGAATAAACGCGCTATAATTCGCGAAAATTCTCCGCGCAAAGTTACTCGTTAATTTAAACTAGCCCGGCCCGAGACTCTGTTATTTCCCCGTAGACTGCACACGGCTTCGCCGTTTATCGTGTTTGTTTTGTGCGCGAAGCAAATTTTACCTTTAATTAATTGCAAGTTTTAATCTCGCCGTCGATCGATCGCGTAGAAACTGAAGAATCAGCGAGCCATCCAATTATGCGTCAGTAGTGTGTGGTCATGCGTGCTTTCTATCTCTCTCTCTCCCTCTCTCATCACGTTTTCAAGCATATGTGAAACTGATATATAGATACAAATGTTTCTCTATGCGGAAATGGGATATCATTTATTACAGTTGTGTAATACTCTCACACGTACAACGTGTGCGTTATATATTGTGCATTTATATTTTTGACTTTTTATTAACGCTTTGAAAATCAACATTATTCGTGAACTAGTTTGCACAAGAATGCACGAAATAAATAATGCAAAGAAATATTCGCAAAGAAAAAAAATATTATATACATATTACATAGATGTTTTGCACATAGGTACACTAAAAATCAACTCGTGCAAGCAGAAAAATGCTTTGTCGGGTAGAATACTGAAATCACAACAATATTCTTGTCATAAAATGTGAATTAAATTACAAAGTGTGTACTATGCATACGAATACACTTACCGTAGTATAGTTACTATTGGCAACCACAGTGAAGGTATACTTTTTTCTACAATATTTTGTCTCTGAGCATCAATTATTGCCAAAGCTGCGTCTTTTGGTGAGAGCTGTTTCCATTGCCATAATTTACTAAAAAGTAAAATTAGATTATTTAAACTTGGACTATATATATATATATATATACATATATATACATATACATATATATACATATATATAAGGAAAGATAATAAAAAAAAATTTTCAAGGTTGTAACGATCTATTAAAATAAATACATGTGTTTTCATTCTCTATTTCTCACACAATGATACATCTTATAGATACTTACTTATATTTTATTCTTTCTATCAACGCTGTAGTCATTCTAGTAACAATTAAACTTGGATATATTGTAGTAAATTTAATCAAAGAGTTGCCATTGCTATGCGTGTACAATTCAAGTCTAAGACTTTCCATAAGTCCTGAAATGCATACAACAATCGTACTTTATATTTCTGTAATAATAATGTATGTTACACATTTATAACGATATTTACACACGCAAAAATACTTAAGTAAATAATAAATACAAACAATAAAGTACCTCTTATGGCAAATTTTGTAGAACTGTAAGTCGATACTTCATTATTGCCGAATAAACCGAATACTGATGAAAGAGCTACTATATGACCGTGATTCTTTTCGACCATTTTTGGTAAAAATGCTTTTAATGTCTAAAAGTACCACACTAATCAATGATTTTGCAAAAGTTTATTGCATACTTATTGTATCTTGACTGTTTTAACACATGTTTTAATTTTGTATGTATCATGCTACGTTTTTGCATATTTTTTCTACTAATTACGCGTAAAGCGCATTACATTAATATTTTATATATTTTATATATACTTTTTTATATATATATATATTTTATATATTTTGTTACTTGCCCAATAATGCGCCATAAAATTGATGTCTACAATTCGTACAATATTGTCAGGAACGTGATCTAGAAATGTTGAAAATTCTCCAATACCGGCATTGTTGATCAAAATGGTGATATCGCCCACTTCTTTCTTCACTATTTCGGCTACTTTAAAAACATCTTTTCTATCAGATACGTCGCATCTACAAACAGAAATCATATTTTACACAGAACTGACATTGTATAGATTCATAGATAAAATTTTTTAATCTCATAGTTGTTTTAATATTCTTTTAATACTTTTCTAAGAAGACAACAATATCTTCTTTTTTATCTACAAGTTATCTTTTTCTATAGATACATAAAAAAACGACACTATTACTATTAGAGATTTGCAACTATTAAACTGCATATTGTATAAACAACAATATGTTGATGATATCCTAGTGATAACATAAAAGCAAAGCATTATCATATCTTACTGATATGCATATGCAGATCCTCCTGTTTTTGTAATTATATTCATTGTTTGTTCGTTAGCTTCCTTATCAATGTCCCAACATACTACTGTTGCTCCTAAAGATGCATAACCAATTGCTAATTCCCTACCGATTCCACGACCTGCGCCTGTTACCTATTACGATTAACTATTAACTATAATAAAGATAAATAAAAAGTATACTATTACATATTTTATAAATTAGCAAATAATGTAGTCTATAATTAAGTTATAAGTTTTAAACTCTTATATCACAAAAATTATTGCTTGAACAAATTGCACAAATAAATAATTTTTTTAAAGATATTTATCGCGTGACAGTCTAAGTTAAAAGTTTAATTTTACGTCATAAAAAAACTATTCTTAGAATTCAATTCACATTTTATATAAAATATTTCAGACTTTAATTTACCAGCATTTTATTAGTGTAAAAATAAAGAAGTTGTTTTACTGTGCTCAAAAAAAAAGAAAAAAAAAAAGAAAACAATTTACATTGAATTCGTTCGTGTTGTCGTTCATATTGAACAACAAGCTGACAACGACGCGCTCGTTTAGCCAAATCGGTCATTTTGCCAATATTTATATATTGATAATTTATCGCATTCTAGTTTTTTATATCAACGTCACGAATATAATTTGGCAGTTAGAGTTTAAAATGTGTCTTTTTCAAGAGATTTAAGATATAACATATGTGAAAAATGTCACTTATAATTTCAACTGTCTCAGGTTTGGGACGATCAACGTTTAGAAATTTCACGCGGGCGCTTATAAAGTTTAATACGTAGTTCAAATGTGAAGAAATTTACAAGAAATCAATTCTACGCGATAAATATCTTAATTTTTCAACAACAATATTTTGAGTTGCAAATTTTGGAACAGCTCATATATGTGCAAAGAAAAGTTTATTCTTTTTGTAAATACCAAAACGATTTCGCCAGCTACGTTTTTCTTTTCCGCCGAAACAAACAATCTGTATACACTTTCGCAGATGTAATAGAGAACTTTCAAAATAACTGACAATATTTGTACAAGAACATGCATATTGATGTTCACAATTAGTACAATATTTTTTATAAAAACTGAGGATTTTTATTACTTTATCTGTAAGAAAATAATTTATTTTGTTAAAAGAAAAATTACATCTGATTTGCTAAAAAATGAAATCAAAATGATTAAACAACCTAATAAATTTTGTGTTATTTACCTGATCGTTGTTCTCTTTGATAATCCGATATGTATTAATTTTCTATTTTGATTTATAGAAAGCTAGTTGTCGTATGCCGTAGTTCTATCTGCTTACAAATAGTCAACAACTCATTGCTTTTATACTGTTATATTTGCATTTTATCTTTTTTCCAAAGCAACTAAAAGTTTATAATGAAAACCGCGCAATAAAGATAACACGTTAAGTTTAAAAAACAGACTAAAAATATGTTCATAAGCAGTGTTTTCCATTATGTAGATAAAATTATCTAGATGTTCATCTAGATGTAATAATTGTTTTATTTTATCTTTATCTAAATAATTAAAATATATGACATCTTTATCTGTATCTCAGATAAGAAAAGTAGTATCTTTTGTAAATTATCTAAGATAATGAGTACGCTTTCTGAATGTAACTTTTCAGTACGGGATAACAAATAATTGTACCTCGAAGAAACAATTTATCCGATAGCACATTTGAAAAACTATTATTTTCTATAGATTTTCTTGAGATGTATTATTTAATTTCCTAACTTCTTTAATATCTCTCTTAAAATTATCTAGATAAAAATCTCAACTAAATCATCTTTTAACTAGATATGATCAAATCGGATTATCTTCATCTTATCTGAGATACATACGTATATGTTTTATCTAATCTGTATCTAGATTATTTCAAATTATCTAAGCGCAACACTGTTCATAAGTCAGCAAATAATAATTAATTGCAATATAAATTAGAAATATTTGCATTAATATTGCCACGTTAACAAAAAGTAAGTTAATATATGCGTGTATATGTGCGTTTAATAGTCGATGCAACGTGTCACAAAACTTTTTATGCATGACTTCCAGGTTGGAGCTGTGCCGTTTACGGTTTTTTTAAATACATTAAATATATCTCGTATTTTATTTGCAATACCTAACTTCTGTAACATTTTACATTTTTGCGCTTGTGTTTATTATTATCAGTTGTACAATTTAAATGTATCAAAGCATTTGTTTATTTTACATCTTAAAAAGAGCTGACGCAAAGTTTTCGCTCTTACACATTTAAAAGAAGATGAAATTTCCTAAAAATATATAGTATTTAAGTTTTCATAAAAATTCGGCAATTAGGTAAAACAGGCAATCAATAAAAAGTATTTCATATTCGGGCGACTTATCCTAAATGTACGACTCGGATGGATCATCCACTTCGACGTTTATGCCGAGGAAATCGTGTATACAATCATATGCTTTCTGAGGTAAAACTCTGAAATAAGACGATATTGTTTTTATTATATGAAGTGATAATATATTACACACGTTTGTGTGTGCATATATCTGTGTGCACATTATAAACATATAAAACAGATATATACCTTAGGCATTTAATCAGAAAAGAAAAACTCGAAGGTATAGATAACTCTTTTACATTTTGTCGTTGCGCATCTATTATTGCTCCAGCTGTTTTCTGTGGAGATTGAAATTGTACAAAAAAGGGAAATCTAGAAATAAATAAAAAATTTAGATTATATGATTTAAAAGGTATAACATATAAAAATAACTACTGACATATTAATCTAAAAATATGTGCAACAAACTATTACATCGCTAACGATAGCTTAGATTATAACATAAAGATATTTCGACTTTTAGAAAAACAACATTTTAGTTTTATATAACAATTAGAAAAAATTAAATTTAAATTAAATTTTTTAATTTTTGTGTGCCATCTTTTGTTTTTACAAATATGTAATACAATTTTTATTATACTCACTTGAAATTTGCTCTTCTTACTAATTTGGTCCGTACAAAACTTGGAAGTATAAGCGTAAAATTAATTGGGGATCTTCCATTGTAGTATTTATCAAGTTCTAATCTAAGACAATCCGTAAGTGCTGCAATATATATTGATATATGTCAGGAAATTACAAAGGAATTGTAGTTACGTATATTTGTGTTATATGAATCGCCTTGTGTATATACCCTATTTACAAACTTATACAGACATATATATGTATATATAGAAATATATGTACGCAACATATGTTAATGTATATAAAAAAATATTTAATATGATACTAACACGTTTAAAAATTGCGATTTCATTTATTCAATTAACATTACCTGTAACTGCGGCCTTTGAGGCACAGTAAGTCGTTCCGTGAGGACCCGTAACAATCGATGCCAAGGACGATATTGTCACAATGTGACCGTGATTCTTTTCGATCATCTTTGGCAAAAATTCTTGTAGCGTCTAGAAGTGACATCTTATTATTTATATTTGCAAATGATTATTGTATAATAATCATTTGCAAATGTAAATAATTTTAATTACTTAATATGTTTTAGTCTCTTACAAGTGCGCGATAATTTGTATTATTTTAATTATGCACAGTATATATACATGTAATACAGTATATATATACATTAAATATATATTTTTTACAAATTCTATATTTATATCTCAAATATCTCAAATATATTACTTACCCAATAATGAGCCATTAAATTTACATCTATAACCCGTTTAATTTCCTCAACGCTCCAGTCCAAAAATTTTCGCACAGGTGCGATGCCAGCATTGTTGATTAAAATAGTAACATCACCCACTTCTTTTTTCACTTTTTCCGCTACTTTAACAACTTCCTCTCGATTTGATACATCGCATCTGTAGTCGAAAATCATATTTCAGTATTGACAATAGTCTTATAAATCCAATTTAGTATGTTTATTGGACTGAGATCTGAATAAATTATTATCTTACTTGTACGCATATGCTGAGCCTCCCGCTCTTGTAATTGTATCCACTGTCTGTTCGTTTGTACTTTTATCTATGTCCCAACATACTACTCTTGCTCCTAATGCTGCATAACCAAGTGCTAATTCTTTACCGATTCCTTGAGCCGCGCCTGTTATCTGTTATAATATACAATAAAAGCTGTACATGAAAATATAATATATATATATATATATATATATATATATATGTGTGTGTGTGTGTGTGTGTGTGTGTTATAAATATAATTTTAATAAATACCAAAACAATTTCGCCAGCTACGTTTTTTTTCTTCATTGGGATAAAAACTTTGTATAGACTTTCGCAAATGTAATAGAGAATTTTCAAAATAACTAATAGTATCTCAATTAAAATCAATACAATCTCAAGTACTTCCATGTTGTTATCTGAAAAAATAATGTTTTTCTTTCTTATAATATAAATATTAGTTATAACATATACATGGTAGAAAAAAAATATCAGAACATTTGAATATCTCAGAAAATATAAGTTTGCATAAACTTAGTGACAAATAAATCGAGTGATACAAAAAACAATTTTTTATCTTAAAACAACTGTTAACTTAAAACACAATTGCACTAGTAAACACACAGAATATCCTAATGTTAATGATAATATCCATATTCTTAGTATTAATAAGTATAACCATTATTCTCTCACTTTTAGCCGAGAACACTGAACATTTGCTAATATGTATAGCAAATTTGTTTCGCTCAAATTACGAAAATATTTTGTTGAAAAACTAAAAGTGTTCTTTTCTTTAATTGCACGTATATTTATAATTTGTAATATTGTCAGCACTTATACAACATATGTCTTTAAACAGTATATCTTTTTATATGACGAATGCTGCTGCTTTACTAACAAGTACATCACTGATCTCAAAGTAAAAGTGTCCGATCAGGTATCCGGTTTTTCAAAGGTCAACTACTTTGTATTTTATTTAATTTTAGATTCACTCTCTTAAGTATCAGTGCATTGCAAACTGATTCTACTTAAGAGAGCAGGTTTTTTGAAAAGATCAACTATTTTACATTTTATTTAATTTACGCTTGCAGTTTGTATATTGTTTTAATTGAGTTAACATTAAAGCTATTTTGTTAAGTAAACTTAATGCCAGATTTAATCTTTTTATTTCATAGTCATCTCATTTTAATGTTGCAGATCACTAAATTGTGAAAGATCTTAGTATGTATCTATGTATAAATACATTATATGTGTGGCCACATATAAGTTTATGTATAGATATTAGTATGTATTTGCCTTAAGTTTTACTATATTTTGTATTATTTTATGCTTGTTATATGTTATCGCGAAAGATAAAATGCAATATTAAACCATAGCAACGAAAGAGAGTGTGTGTTTTGTGAACGCCGTCAGAGAAAATAAATAAACCTTCTGAATATCACATTGGAAAACTTTTATAGTATGTTTTAGATATAAAAATATTTCTCATATCTTATGCAGAAGTTGCCTTAAAAGAAAAAAAAGAGAGAGAGAAAGAGAGAGAGAGTTCCACATTCCAGAATAATATAATCCTACTCCTGCTGTAAATTTTTCAGCGATAGAAACAGAAAGAGAGAGAAAGAGAGAAACAATTCTAACAATGTATAAAAATCTACTATTTTTAACACAATTTTAATGTGAGAAAATGAAACTATCTAATGTCTATTATTATTTTGCCAGAGAATCATGTTAATAAGTATATATGACTATTGAAGATAAAATGTTTTTACAACAAAGTGATGATTTTAGTGACGCGTAAATTACATTCTCAAATCATTCGTAAAGATAAATGTAAATATATATTTTATTTGAAATAACGCACATGTATCACTTGTATGCTATAAAGCGTCTCGTTTTTCGCAAGCAACAACTCGACGCATGAGATCTTTATGCACCGGTGTTGTGCACTCGAGTTGGCAAGCTCTCCAGCCGGCGTTTTCGGCGGTTGCATTCGCTACTACGAGAATCCTGCCTTAAAATCATGCGACTGTTGGTTTGCGCGAGACAGTTTTCAATCCGCGCTCACCAGAAGATACATGAACCAGTGAAAATGGTTGCGCATAGGAGTTGAGAGAATTTGCAGGAGGCGTCGAGAGACGCTGAGTCTGAGCATCTTCATCCGAACAGACGTGCGCTCGAGCGAATCTGCGCTACCTTGCGCGCTGCCTTGTGCGCAACGACTACTTCGTTAACCGTCATCAGGAATATACCGCGACGATTACAACGCCCGGTTTGCTTCTAAAGAGGAGGAACTTCCGTCCGGACGTTTCGCGAACACGCGTACCCACGTCTCGTCGTGTGCAGTCGTCTCGTGCAACTCGCTCGGAACTAGCGTAGATCTAAAGTGTGTAGCCAAGCGGGCAGACATTCCCGAGACTCAACACTAGACTTAACTTCCATGCAGTGATTACTTGTACTTCCACTTACACTTCACGACTGCACCTAGCCTGTTCGATATTGTTCCGCTTACTTCCGCTCATTTTCGTGTTTATTATTAGCTCATTATACGCGACAGAGGAACTGCAAAAGTACATACAAAAAAACTTCAATTGCTGATCCTTCTGCTCACGTAAAAAAATTACGTAAAAATAATAAATATAAAAGTAACAGATATATATATATATATTTTGTTTTAAATAACCTGTACGTACGCATTATGTTTTCTTATGGATTTGAACGTGTCAATGCACGCGGTTTTCTTAAGACGCAATCCAAAAGTAAGACGCTGTGATACAATCGAGTAACAAATCTGGGATTAAAAGTTAGTACTTATTTACGGCTGCACGATATAATGTAGCGTGAGAATTATTCTGAATGCGCGAGGTTTCTGTGCGCGTTGACGGCGACAAGAGCGAGAGCAATAAGTACGCGCAACTTCAACTTAGGAACGAAATACTGGAGTTCCGAGGAATTTTCTATTGTCTTACTGCAAAACGGAATATGGCAGCTTCTTTTTTGTACATTATAACACTGTGATGTAGTACGTCTTATTACATCAAGACATGTGTAATTTTTGAAATGAAAAATAAAGTTTACTTTTCATTGACCGAGATATATGTATAATATACAGGGTGTCTCATGAAGACCGTATCACCGCTCGTAGGCAGGTAGAAAGAGTTATTCTGAGTCGAAAAGTCTTGAATCATTTTTTTCTATTACATATAATAAAGGAGTAATTATTGAATAAATCGGCGCCGACCTTTAGCCGAACGCACATCAGTGAACTACGCGCCTGGTGTGCGTGAGCGCTCCGCGCGGCTCACTAACGTGCGCCCGAATAAAGGTCGGCGCTGATTGGCTTGATTTATTCAATAATTACTCCTTTATTATATGTAATAGAAAAAAATGGTTCAGGACTTTTTGTCTCAGAATAATCTCTTTTACCTGCCTACGAGCGTTACGATACGGTCTTCATGAGACATATATATTATAGAGAGATACATTACATACATGTACATATAAAATTAGATGTATAAATTATTATTTATTTATTTTCATGTATATTTGCATAATTAGCCAAAAAAACTTATGTATGTCTCGATATAAGTGAACATTTTCTACAAATGTGCGATATATTATAGCAATTCTATAAGAAACAACTTCAGCGCTAAAGGTCAACCTTAGTCAAATTCACAAGTAACGTTTAAGACAATTAATGTTTATAGTCAATAAAATTACAACGACTGAGGCGGATGAGAGTTCGAGCGGCTGCAGAGGAAATTAAATTCGGGTATTAACTGTGCATCCAACTGCGCTGCTATGAGTTGACATTGTGCCAGAGTAATAGACTCTGTTCCCGTAATTAACTCGTTGCAAAACAAGAGCGACAAACGTGGTTTGCACGTTTGCTCTTTGACCGTAGCAATTATAATTAACAACGCCTGCTATATTGTTTAGGCTAGAGAAGCTTTTCATAAGTAAAAAACGATTTTACGATAACCAACATTTATTGCGTTTCAATCGCAGCGCACGATCAAGTCAGACTAACAGTCAACTAACTGATGGATTGCACTCACTTTTACGTTAATAATATATTTCTTTCGTAAGTATTAGCATGTATAATTGTGTTTTTATTTGTTATAATAATACAAGACAACATACTTACTATGTGTGCTGTTTTTACGAGGACAAAGTAAGATATCCGGCACAGAGAACAATAATCAAATTTTTATATTTCAATACTAAATATATATTTACTTTTAAAAAATTACACTAGAATTGATTACTTATTCTCACGTCGCGGAGAACGCGATTTCCGGGCAGATGACTTTATCGGACACAACTTCTAGCGACGATTAGTACCGCTCTGACTTTTTGCGTCTCAACATTATCTTTATACACCAGCCAATCGCTTGTGATTAGTTAATTCGCTTTTCATACTTGTTTTATCGCAGTCGTAAACAATGTTACCGATTACATCATAGTGTGTCGCAATGTACGGAAAAAAAGTTGACATATTCAGTCTTGTAGTACGATAAGAGGAAGTTTCTTGGAACTTTAGTATTTTGTTTACCATTGATTTATCGCTCTCTCACTTTCGACGCGTAATGAATAAATACTTTAATCCCAGATTTGTTATTCGATTATGACACAGCGTCTTACTATTAGATTGCGTCTTAAGAAAACTGCGTGCATTGACACATTCAAATCGATAAGGAAACATAATGCATACGTACAGGTTATTTAAAAAAATATATCTATTGCTTTTATATTAATTTTTTTACGTGAGCAGAAGGATCAGCAATTGGGGTTTTTTTTTGTATGTACTAAATTCCAGACCAAAATTCTTAAAACAATATTTTGACATGTGTGATTAAATTTGCAATTTAAAACAATGCACATTTAACATTATGATAATTACATAATAAGATAAATGACACAATCATCAACATAATAATCTACTACCTAAATGATATGATATATGTGTACAACTACTGCTCAGCAGTATAACATACATACTTTTTACGAAAAGTTATTTCTAATTTAAAGCATTTAGTTTATATTTTTAATTTTTACATTTTTATACAATATGTAAAACACATTTATTAAAAGCAATAAGTTTAATACTATATTTAAAGATAATGCTAATTTAATGTACACGATTTGTTGATATATTTTCTTTTTATTTAATGCACGTTTCACGTGATTAGTATGTCAAAAATGTGATTAGTACGTTATTTTTATACTGCTTGCAAAGCACCGAATTTCGAGCAGAATTTGCATGTTCAAAGAGTAGAATGAAATATGCGCGACGCCATGCAGCTCGAGTGCACATCACTGAAAGCAATAAAAGTCGTGGAAAAGAAAAACGCATTTGGAAGAGTGACAAGACCGAAGATATTGATCTGCGGAATCTTTCGTCACAGAACGAAGAACCGTGAGAACGAATCTTGTCGGCAGAAAAATTAATCATAAAAATTAAAGAATTAAAATAGAGACGATTAATAATTATTATTTATTGTAGATTTTGATAAATCGTTGAAATATATTGGCGACGATATGTGCGCGCGCGCGCGTGTGTGTGTGTGTGTATGTATATATGGTTACAGAAGCGCAAAAACGAGACATCCACCAGGAACGGCGAGGTGAACGGCGAAGGGCGCGAAACAGGACGACACTCCATTTCCGTTCGCGCAACCAGCCTCTGCTTTTGCTTGATTTTCCTGCAAACTGCGTTTCAACCGGCCTGACGGTTTGTTCGCCCGACTGTGCATTTATGCACACAGTGACCGGTACAGCACACCCTTTAGCCGGCCACCATCGCTTCTGTTCCTGAGTTTTGCGGACCGCTCTGTCCACATTCGGCGAGAATAGTCCTCCTTCGCTTCCGCTCCATAAATGGCTGCCGGAGTATATATCTACCACGCTTCGACAATTCAAACACGTTAATTTTGTATTCACAGCACAATGATATATTATTAATACTTCATTTGTTAATACATTCTACACAATTATCGATCCTGTATGGTCATATCTTTTATTCCGATTTTAATAAATGCAATATTCCAGTCAGCATCAAATGCGATTAATAAAATTGGCTACAATGCACCTTGAAACCTCTATCTAATCGAAATTAATGAAATTCAACACATCAGTCTCTATCTTCGCGGTTATTATTTCCGTTTTCGTATCAGAATGCCGGTTGTTTCGCTTTGCTCTTTTTCTTTTTTCGTAAATTCAAACTCGGTTTACCGAGGCACGCATGATACCGGTCTGAATTAATTTCGCGCAAAGCTCGTTGTCGCATTCCCCGGAGGCCGGTCCGGTACACGGAAAGTAATATTACCGCCACGTGCAAATGGTGGAACTGACGGCGAGCAGAAGAAAGGCGGAGGGTTGCGCGAGATATCGTCGCCCCGACGGTAGAGAGAGAACCGTCGGGGAAAATAGAAACAGCAGTGTCGGAAGAAAGAGAGATCCGCGAAGAAAAGAAAGAAGGATGGAGGACAAGAGCCGGCCGACTCCGCGGGTAAGGAAAATATAAGAAGCCCCTTCATTTTCATTAATAAAACATCTCGTCGGGTAAGAAGCGGCGGGAACCAGAACGTCGGAGCAACGGCTGGACTGGAGGGAAAGGTGAAGAGGATAGACAAAACGGGAAGAAACGAGACAGATGCGGTGGAAAGCAACGGACGGGCCACCGGTTTCCAGGCGGGGCGGTTTGCGACTATTTCTGAATAACAACGAAATGCAAAGTAGCTGATAGCACGCGTTGAAGCTGTGCACTCGCGCCATCCCTCAAGCGCGCACGGCTCCTCTTTGCCCGGCTTTCGAGACCACAAGCTCTTTCTTACGTGCACTTACTGTTAGTAAGAGCCGCTTCCTCAAGATTTCTCCGGTTTGCCAGTCAGGTTGGCCTACATTCCGCTCTCCTCGACGAGAAAGAGAGGATGTTATCCTTCCGCAAAGAAAATTAGCCTGCTGTTCGCAGCTCGTTGTACTTTGCGTTACTTTTGCTTTTTAGTTGATCATCGTCGTCCGATTTTTCAACGAGCGATCAATTTTAGCAAAACGATTTTGCCGTCACAAAAACATTTTCGAGTATTTATAAAAAAAAAAAATTAAAAAATAAGAAGCCCAGTAAAAGTCAAACGTTGGATGTATATATATATATATATACGTGCAAATTATTTTTTTAACGTATAAATTAATACACGTAATTTAAATTAAATTTAACTCGAAAATATTTAATTAACTCATTTGTTTTCTCTGTAAAATTTAAAAAATCATTATGCAAGAAGATATCTCAGAATTTTCTAGTATATTTCGAAATATAAAAACACAAAATCTTTTTACTTTAATATTTCTCTGTGTACCGAATTTTTAATTTCATATCACGCAAGTTGAGGGAATAACGCATGTTTTGTTCTAAAAGTAGAGAGAGTGGTCGCTTGCGAGTAGTCCGTG